ACAGCATACGGTGTAAGTACTAGAGATTCAAAGATAACAAGCTTTATTGAACAGGTGTAAAAGTGAGAGTACTCTGAGAAAAGTACTCTGAGAAAGTACTCTGAGATGAATACCTTGCTGAAGGTATTGGGAGCCCCCCCTCTGCTGTTTGTCCGGACAGTGATTCGGTCCAACCGCAGTGAGCGGTCATTGGGCGGAGGACAACTTTGGTTTGTAATTCACATTTAGGGGAGTATAAAATTAGAAACATACATATTGTTAAGTCTGTATTTGGCTACAGCCTCTGCCCTGATGCCACACACCGTCTGTCAATGCAGTTATGTTTTGCCCAATTGGATTGATTGACAGGCCGCACCATGCGAAGAGAGGAAAGTGGGCGTTTCTTGTGTTCTAATGTTTGTTTTTCAGATGAAAGATAAACTGCACCTGCTTCAGGGATAACACAGTAGTATGGATCATAAGGAAAATGAGCCTCTACTTTGGCACCAAAGCCCACAATATGAATTGAGGACGATCCGGGAGGAACAACTGAAGATGATTGGAACAGTAATCTACACACACACAGATGCATGTTTTATACTTTGGACCACGACCAACAGAGGGAGTATAGTAATGTTATTGTCATAGGTGGTCATGGTCCTTAACCTTCTAAATCATTAGAAAGAAGTGTAAAACATATATTTACAAGAACAAATAAATAATAGAAAGGGCAGCCTAAAAAAGCAAAATGGGAAAATTATTAAGTAATTTTCGGAGTTGCCAAAATGAAATAAAATTCTATATTTGTCCCATAGGGGGTCATTCTAAATTTAGTGTTGTGCAAATTTAAAAGGAGAAATAATAGCGCTTATAACATCAAACAGATCTACTCTTTAAGATAATAGATCATACAATAATAGAATAGAATGAAATAGTCTGGAGCTATAATGTCATTGGATTCGAGGAGCTATAGGTTGAAAGGTCGCTAGGAAGAGGTGTCAGAATAAACAATAGTAATAATAGTTAGACTAGTGAATAATCAAAATAGTTCTATTGTGGAAATAAGTATCAATAAGGTCAAATTGTTCTAATAACTAAAGTAAAAAGGAATCAAATGGAGTCAGATTTTAGATGTTTCTGTTTTCCACATCTGTAGGAACTGGTGCAGAGGTGTTTATAGAGAGTAGTATTAAAATGCAGACATAGAACGACAGGCTTTAACACAATTTTAAATCTAAAAATAGCTCAAATATAACATTGCTCTTGATGCAGCCTCTGAGCTGCTCCATTGGAGAACAGGTTAAATGTTATTGTTTATTACAAACAGCTGATGTATTTACACATATTAAGTTTGGGACAACTCTTTAAACAGTTATAAGCAGCGGACAGAAGCCATGAATGTGCTTTTGTTTATTAAATAATTAATTTCATAGCCATATAATCGTAGAGAACGGTTTTAAAATAGTTCTCTTCCTCCCGCTCCCTTTCAGGCAAATTGAATAGATTCATGTTTTTAATATTGGAGAACGACTGTGTTGTTTTTGGAATTGTCTGAAATACAATACATAGAATAGTGATTTGCAGAACAAGAACCAGCCAATGAAAAATCGTCTATTGCCAATGCAATTGTTACAATCAGAACTCAAAAATTGGGAATATGCTTTGGCTCAAACTACAACCAAGATTTGGAGTCACAATAGAGTGTAAAATAGATAGATGCTTTCAAAAATAGAGATTATTTTTAGACAGGGCCAATATCAAACGGTAAAAAGACCATTTCCTTCATATTATGTCCAAAAGTAGTTACTTCAAAAGTAGATAATGTTCATGAGTGTAGCCTAGATTAATGTAGCTTAGATTAATGAGATAGATTAGAACCAACAGAGATTCAAAAACATTTAAAAGCATTTTGGTTAATTTGAATATAGCACAAAAGTAGATATTTAGGTATTTTTGAGAATTTTAAGAGCTGTCGATTTGTCAGCAACAGATTAGAGAATCAAAATACCGTTGTATAGGGACTGACCCCAGAGAAACCTGCTAAAATAGATTAGCTCCTGTAACGATAATACCAATTTGATTAATGATGAAGAATCAGAATGACACAGCGGTGGTCATCAAAGAGTTTTGTGAAGGAATGTTTCGAATGTGGTTGTGTGTTGTTTGTTTTCCCTGTATTAACTCTTCACAGATATCAAGCCTGAACTAAGCACAAGTATGGATGATAAACGACGATGTGGATTGTGACCTAATTTTTAATCAGGTCAAAAGAGGGAAACTGTTGTATAATTAAAATGTTGTATACTAATGATTTTGAAAATAGGCCCTCTGAAGAATGTGCACGGGGAAAAACCCCAAGGACACAAGATAGTATACAAACTAGACAATTATTGACTCCAAGTATAAGCAGGGCTCTCTCTCTCTCACTTTGGGCGAGAGCAAAAGTCCCTCACCATCAGGCGGAGAGGGAATTCACCAACAGCATTCTAACGCCTCCCAGTGGACAAGGGACGTCAGCACACCCGGAAAGCCCCACCCTTGGACGCGTATGGATGACGTCATCAGAAGTCTCCCGTATATGTGCCCTCGGAGGGTTTTGAGGTCAGAGAGGACAGGGGCAACGCACAGGGATAGAGCAGGCATAGAATAGGAGCTCTTTTGTTGAATATTCTGTATCTGATTGTAAAGATAATTAAATGCAGATGTTAAACTTGGAGAATCTTTAGTCTGATTTCTGTACCAAATTGTGGACACGCCAGCCAAAGGGAATTATTGGCTTCAATGGCTAGGTTGCTATGATAATGATTAAAATGTATATTGAGTCAATTTTCAAATGAATAAAAAGTAACAAAATACAGTTTCTTTATTCATTTCGCTTCGCACACTGTAAACCCTGGAAGTAAAGTCTATTTGAAAAAACCTTGGAAATAAATGGCACATTAACTTGAATTCCTCAAGTACAGTTTTAACATGATGTTGCCAAGTGAACTCAAATGATTGCAATAAAGTTTGACTGTGATTTCAAGTTATTCATACATCAGAAAGGTCCTTCTCCGACAGAGATTCGAACTCAGATTCTTCTTGCCCAGAAGCGATGGTGCTACCCACTCAGCCACCATGCTACCCTGCTTACAAGATACCTAACATTTTGAACACTGTACATGTTCAAAATATCAAAAGTGGCTTACGTGAACAGAGACCGCTCAATTCAAAGTGGTATAGCCAAACTTTGTATAAACCAACAATTAACTGGTAATCTTTACTTGCTGGGAAAAATCAATTTAAAATATTTTTGATATCTGAAGTAAGATTGAAGGTAGGGTTTACAGTGCACTAAGCGATATTAGTAAGGTATCAGAATGTTTTTTTTACTTAACCCTAACTCTAACGGTAAATGTCTCAATTGCGAGATTAGTACATTTTTGTCTTAGCCATCCATTTTCTTCCGCTTCATCCGTTGCTGGGTTGCAGGGGCAGCAGTCTAAGCAGAGACGCCCAGGCTTCCCTCCCCGGGGATCTTCCCCGGGCCTCCTCCCGGTGGGACGTGCCTGGAACACCTCCCCAAGGAGTGTGACTGAGCTCCTCACCCTATCTCTAAAGGAACGCCCAGCCACTCTGCGGAGGAAGCTCATTGGCTCCTTTCGGCCGCTTGTATCCGCGATCTTGTCCTTTGCTCATGACCATGGGTGAGGGAGGGGACAGAGATTGACCGATAAATCGAGAGTTTTATCTTTCGGCTATAAGCTCCCTCTTCACCACAATGGTCCGATACAGCGACCGCTCCATTCTTCCCTCACTCGTGGACAAGATCTCGATATATTTGAACACCTCCACTTGAGGAAGGACATCTCCACCCACTTGGAGAGGGTAAGGCACCTTTTTCTGGTCGAGCATCACCTCAAATATGGAGGTGCTGATTCCCATCCCAGCCGCTTGACATTCAGATGAAAACCGTCCCAGTGAATGTTGCAGGTCCTGGTTAGTTGGAACCAACAAGACAACATTGTCCACAAACAGCAGACATTAAATCCTGTGCACGAAACTTTGATTCTTAAAACCCACATACAGTATAACAACATGGAACCATCAACATCTCGACTCAAATTAAAAGTGACATTTGTGTCTTCATTTGTTTGTATTTAAACTTTTTACACAACTCACGGACTGTATGTCCACCATTTTGGATTGCTTTGGCTGCCGCATGCGCAGGTTTGCATTACATCATAAACAGCTGAGGGAGCTCATCTCGACGGGCAGACCAACTCGACATAACACCGGCAATGCGAACGCAGCTCAGGCTCCGGTCATACAGGGACTGGATGGCCCTCAAGAGAGGACCCCGGGTCCCGTACTCCCGGAGAACCCCCCATTGTACACCTCGGGGAACACGGTCAAACACCTTCTCCAAATCCACAAAGAATATGTGGACAGGTTGGGCGAACTCCCATGATCTCTTGAGTATCCGATGGAGAGTATAGAGCTGGTTTTATCTCATCTTAAAATGCAACAAAATGCAGACATTTTCATGCAGTTGCTTAACTTAAAATGCCTTCATTATAAGTTAAGCTTATAATAAGGTGGCTGAGTGGATAGCACTTTCTGGGTGGAGTTTGCGCATTCTCCCCGTGTCTGCGTAGGTTTCCGGGTGCCCCAGTTTTCCCTTACCACTAAAAACATGCACAATAGGTATGAATGTAAATGAGAGAGTGAATGGATGGTGTTGAATGGAGGTTTTAATGCGCCAGTGTGTTCAGCGAGTCGCTTCCATCACCACCGTGTGAATGATTGGAACAATATCTGAACTTTGAACATTGCAAAGCGCTTTGGGTGACCTTGGTCTGTAAAATGTGCTATATAAATAAACATTACTTACTTCCTTACTTCAAACCCTTCATATTTGTATTTTTCAAAACTCCCATAGGGAGAATAAAGTGCGCTACTTAGAAGTGAGGTTATTTGAGTTTAGAGTGCATTTTTCAAAAGACTCAAACAACTGAAAGACTGAAAACTAAAATGTGTACTCACTGCACTACTGTCAGACAAAACAGGGTCAAACAGAGAGTCCAAATAGCGGTCCATGCCTTTTTGTGTTTGACCATCACTGAAGCCATCAGACTCTGTAAAAATGACACATATAACTGTTATTCTTGTCTTGTTTACCCTGAAAACTCCAATGTTGGCCGATAGGGTTATTTCTGTCCTACCATGGCTATAGTAACCATCAGAATCAGGGAGACTGCAAGCTGGTCTGCTCCCTCCTTGGGCTGAGAACGGCGACGTCTCATCATCTGAGTCAAAGCCACTGCCGACCATAGCTCTGAAAGGTTAAAGATATCGTTCACATTTTCAACATGTACATTTATGTTTTGTTAATATCCTTGATCAGGGTTCCTACAAGTTTCTGCGTGTCAAATTAATGTATTTTTCAGACCATATTAGGACCATTTATAAAACAATTTAATAACTGTAATGGCCTATTTCACGTACTGTGATGGGACACCTCTGGGAATACCAGGTGCTACAAAGGGGCTGTAAAGTGCCGAACTGTGGTTGTGTCCTTGGGCAAGACACTTCACCTCCATTGCTGAGAAAGAGTTTGCATTATTGCGTGAAATATTTATCACCGCCGTATGAATGAAACTTTTGTCGAGAATGTGATACATACTGCACAAATGTTAAGACCCAGATATCAAAAACATCAAGACTTTATCACCTTTTTTTCAATGTATTATTTCCAAGTTCATAAATTCTTTTAAGACATTTTAAGATCCTGTAGGAACCCTGCTTAATGTGGCGTCTGCTTACAGTCCTGCATTTGCTCTGACTTTTGTTGGGTCGTCTGAGCTGATTATGAAGTAACTCTTTTGCTTCGGAAAGTGAGAAGGAAGCTCCAAGTCTGCGATCATGTCCATCACGTAATCATGGCCCGCTAACTCAACGCGTTGACCATGCTCCTTCATCAAGATGGAGCTCCCCTTGCACCAATCACTCACGCCTCTATAACAGCACGGAATTCAAAAATCATGCACAAATAATTACTCAATACACTTTTTAGAATCGTCACCTGTGTCTCAAAATGTTTCCTGCCAAATCCTCTCCACTGGTCCACGAGTGTACTGGACATAAAAATGATCCTCCTGTAACAAAAGATTTTCACCTTGGAGAGACCCATGAGGAAAATGCCGTTAGACTTATTAGATTTAAGCATGTTTATTGATTGAGCATGTTTGGCGCCCTAGGCCCGGGAGGGATGCTGTTGAGCACGGCGCTTGCTCGCGTGCATAATCCCCCCCGGGGCTAGTAGGCAAGCACGCTTCGATGAGAGAAGGAGGAGGTGGGGCGGCGGAGGCTTGCAGACTTCAGAAGGCCGGGAAGTGGGCGTCTCCGGCTTTTAACTTGCTGTCCTGGTGGTTATTGGTTGACTGGATGTGGGCGTTGCTGGTATTGATGAGTCGAGGAAGAGCAGCCTGTGGCCTGGGCAGCAGCAGCCGGGTCTACCACAGTGAACTTTCGCGAAAGCTCCATTAGATTTATATTTTTTATTATGTCCCTGGGCATTTTACATTTACTGCTCTAAACATATTTACTCTTAAGAAATTTACTGCATTACAACCACAAAGTATTTTTGCTTTTTAAAATATAACCTACTGGGGGAAAAGCATAAATGGCAAAAAATAAATAAAAAATAGAAATTGAATTTAAAAAGTAGCTTATTCATTTTAACTGTGCCATATTATGCTGATAATATTAGTATGTATTGTAAGTATAAGTAAAAAAGTTTGACTATGGAAACTGTATACAGATGAACAATGCTAACCCACTAGCTCAATGAAGCCCAATGGGGAAGTGGCCTAACTAGCTCTGGGTCCTATTGACTTACATTGAAAAGTAAACTTCTCTAGTTTGGTAACAGTTTATGTCACACTCACCGCTTAATGGTTAAAAATCAGTGTTTTAGCCCTCTCTATCATCATGGTGTTTACATTTCGATATTGTCCAGAGATAAGCTATAAGGATTGATCGATCAATCCAATTTTTTTGCTTTCCAATGTGTGGGAGGCTGCGGTTTCCAAATTTCGAGTGTTTTGACATGTGGAGCTCAAAAGCAGAGAGCAGTAAGCCCACATCACCTGATCCTGACAATTAATATTGAATGACTTTGTAGAGTAACTGATACCTGCATTATGTGCTTGTGGCATTCAGAGAACCAGAGGTGGAAAAGGCTGTTTACTCAATATGATATGACAAAATAGAATAACCGCACACCTCCATTGTTCTCATAAAGTAATTGAGCCTCGCCGCACCTTTTAAACAGCCATAAATTATGATGTTTTTTCCGTAGTGCTGGCGTGGCTCACCATCAAAGCAGTGTAGGTGAAGAGCCAGGTTGGCCTTCTTCCTATTGGCGGTCCACTCCAGCAGGGCCAGCGGGTATGTCCGAGCGGTTTCTGTCCCATCTCCACAACTGAGCTGAGTCTTGTGTCCGCCCTGAATCAACCTGTGCTGCAACATGGCCTGGTACCCGGCCGGAGCGTGGTCGGACACAAACCTGGCGAGAAAAATATGTAATAGATCAAAATGAAGATTAAAAGATGCTTTATTTGTCCCACAGTGGGGAGAGTGTCATAAGTCACAGAAAAGTGGGGATGAGGAGCACATAGCACAAGATAAACAATCAAATCTGTAACTTTAGCCAAAAAATTTAAAAATTAAAGTATAAAATCTCTAGCTTTAGCATAATGAACACAAAATCTCTGACTTAAGCATAATAAAAAAGTAAGTATAAAATCTGTAAGTATATTAACTGTATATTCTAGAGCAAGAAATATATAGTTGTACATTTTGCTGGGTTTCATGTAGCATGAGGGTCTAGGACTAAGTGACTCAGTATAGTGACTGTGGACACATGTGATTCTATATTGCACATTCTGACATAAGTAATATCAAGTTGTATATTAACTTAAAATAAGGTATGAATCCTCCTACTTGAGCAAATATTTGTCCATCTTGGCAGAAGGAGGGAAGCAACACACACATCCTAGTAGGAGCAGCCAGCCTCTCTCAGCGTTGTCTCGGTTGCCGTTTCTCCAAACTTGATTGACCACTTGGGCAAAGATCTCGTCGCGGAGACCGGGCAAGATGATCCCTTTTTGAATGATGAAATTCCCAAACATATTTTCTTGTGCTCCATTTAGATGAGGGTCCCCCATGAACCGTGAGACCTATATGGGAAGGAGCAAGGAGAAATAAAACACAAGAACATAAATCATCCATTCAGAATGTAAGGGATTAGCTTGAGAAATTCTGTAATAAAAAAGTAGTTCAAACATGTGATAAGAAAAGGCAATATTACCATAATAAATATCTGGAGAGCGTCTTCTTTAAGATCCTCGTCTACTCGGGTTAAAGGAGCCTCTAATGGAGCCATCAGCATCCCAAACTTTGGTTGCTGGAGTAGTAATCATTAGATGAAACACAAAATGTCAAACAAAGTGTATTCAATTAGAACTGTCACACGTCATCTGAACCAAACCTTAAAGTGAATCTGCACATAGCGATAAAAAGTGAAGTTATTGATGTCCAAAGGCAGAGTGAGTTGAGTTTGTTCCTGAATGTGAGGAGCCTGAAGTAGAGCCAGACAATCCGAGTGCAACTCCCTTCTGGCTGAAGAAAAACACACACATAATATGGTACATGTTAATAACAATGACAACAGTACAGTAGTAGTGAATACTTAATTATAAATAGGAATTCAGATTCAGATTCAGATTCATTTTATTTGCCATTTGCAGTAAAAAAAAAACACATTGGAATACATTAGCAAAAAGTCTCCAGTGTGCACAGACAAATACAGACATAAAACAACATTAAAAGACAGAAATAAAACAAATAAAACAGTAAACAAATGTCACTGTGAAATCGATCGACTAAATCAGTTTCAAAACAAGTGCAAATCATTAAAGTGCTCTGTTCACACTGATAACAGCTTGTGGATAAAAACTGTTAGCGTAACGAGATGTCCTGCATCTCAGAGCGATATTTTCTGCCAGAGGGAAGAAGCTGGAACATGGCTTTTCCAGGGTGGCCAGAAGAGTCATTGACAATCCTCAGAGCTTTGTTTAAAAGTCTGGATTTATAAAGAACCTCCAGAACAGGAAGCTCACAGCCCAAGGTCCTCTTTGCAGAGCGGAGCACCTTGTTTAAAGCTCTCTTTTCTTTATCTGTGATGTTTCCAAACCACACAGACACAGAACCAACAAGTAAACTCTCGATGGTGCAGCGAGTTAGTGGTAAATTCTCTAAGTTTACGCAGAAAGTAGAGACGCTGACGAGTTTTCTGAACGACTCGGTCAGTGTTTTTAACCCATTTCAGGTCGTTAGACAGAGTTAAACCCAGAAACTTGCACTCCTCTACGATCTGCACCTGGGAGTTGTCGATTGCGACAGGCAAATGAGAACTATTGCGACTGAAGTCTTAGACCAGTTCACATGTTTTCGATGCGTTCAACTGGAGGTTGTTAGCTTTACTCCACTGAACCACATTTAGTATCTCTGCTCTATAAGAGGATTCATCATTGTCACTGATGAGACCGATGATGGTGGTGTCATCAGCATATTTAATGATCAACTTTGAGTCAGAGGAGGACACACAATCGTGAGTGTACAAAGTGAAAAGCAAAGGACTCAAAATACATCCCTGAGGAGAACCAGTGCTCACAGAAACAACATCAGAAAAACAGTCATTGATTTTCACTCTCAGGGATCTGTCAGTTAAAAAGCTAAAAATCCATTTACACATGGCAACACTAGAACCTAAAGACATGAGCTTTTCAATCAGTTTACCTGGGACAAGGCAGTTAAAAGCAGAGCTATAATCGATGAAAAGCATTCTCGCGACAGATTTACTAGTGTCCAAGTGAATGTAGACAGAGTTCAGAGCAAAGGAGATGGCATCCTCCACACTCCTGTTCTGTCTGTAAGCAAACTGGAGCGGGTCAACACTCACAGGGATCTGGCTCTTAATGAAGTCCAGCACAAGCCGCTCAAAAGTTTTCATAAGAACAGACGTGAGGGCCACAGGACGATAGTCATTCAGGCATGTCACAGGAGTTTTCTTAGGAACTGGAATGATGGTCGACTCTTTAAAGCAGTTCGGCACAGTACAGTTCCTTAGCGACAGGTTAAAAATGTCTGTTAGCACAGGGGCAAGTTGCTCAGAGCACAGTTTCAGGATACTAGGAGGGATGCCGTCCGGGCCTGGGGCTTTCCGGACTGTGGTCCTGGACCGGACACGCCTGACTTCCTCCTGAGTCACGGTGAAGGTACCTTGATTGAAACACTCAGGGAATACAGTAGGACAGGCATCAGCGGATTCAAAGCGACAGTAGAACGTGTTCAGCTCGTTTGGCAGAGCTTGGTCGACAGATGCAATTTTCCCAGCACTAGGTTTCCACGATGTGATGGCTTTAATACCGTTCCACATGCGCCGAGGGTCATCTTCCTCAAAATAACTCTTTAACCTGTCCCCGTAACTGCGCTTTGCTGATTTAATAGAGTGTTTCAATGAGTAACAGGAGAGCTTATAAGCAACTGTATCATTTGATTGAAACGCCAACGCACGCTCATGAAGTTTCAGTTATCACTTCCGCGTTCATCCAAGGGTTTTGACTAAAATGTTCTTTAAATGACCTTCTGTGGGACACAGCAGTCAATACAGAAGCATATGTATCCAGACACAGCGTCACAGAATTCATTGACGTCCTCTGACTGAAACACAGACCAGTCCGTAGCATCAAAACAACCTTGTAGCTTCATGCTAGCTTCCTCAGACCAGCACTGCACAGTGTGAGAGGTTGGTTTATGTTCCCTACTCCTCTGAGTATACGAAGGAAGAAGGAGAACAGAGGAGTGGTCAGACTTTTCAAAAGGAGGTCTGAGACTGGACCTGTAAGCTCTCTTCACGTTACTGTAGCAGTGATCCAGAACATGTGCTCCTCTTGTAGCTTGAGTCACATGTTGGTAAAAGTTCGGGAGTACAGTCTTTAAATTACATTTATTGAAATCCCCAGCAACAATGATGACTGCGTTAGGATGAGCAGACTCATGTTTGTGAAGGATCTCGCTCAGATCCTGTAGGGCTACTTTGTAATCCGCACGTGGGTGAATGTAAACAGCACATAAAAATATCACTGAAAACTCACGGGGAAGATATCTTATTTCTTGTAAATGAGCTTCTCGTAGTGAAGCTCATTTACAAGAAATGTGCATGTACACTAACCTCCTGCTGTCTGTATTAGTGCCCCCAGCTCCGCAGGGATCACCAGGTGGGTGACGTTGACCACCTCCCGTTTTGTCAGCTCCTAAAGAAACATACTGTTATTGTAATAATGTTATTGTAAAGACTAAACATGTCTGATTGTAGTTTAAGTTCACCAGTTCTCTTTTCCTTCTTTCCTTTTCTGCCTTCCTCTTTGCCTCAAACTTTCTCTGCAAATGCATTGAAATAAGTTCAAATATAATACAAATTATTACTATAAATTATATTACTATTATTTTGTAATCGACCTTGATGTACTGTTTGCGATTTACATACATATGGACCAGGGATCGGAAACGAACCAAACTTTCTCTCGTTTTCATATAACGTTTTCTAGAAAAACCAAAATTAAAAGTCACAAAAAAAACACATAACAAAACAATAAAGTGCCTTCATGTTTCTTCTGTAGTGTAATTCATGCTGGCTAAAAGAGGAGTAATAAAGGAGTAACAGCAAGTCTCATACCTGGCGAGATAGCCTCGGCACTGTGCTTGCAGTCGAATCATTTTTTTGCGAAACTCTTTGTATCGTTTTCTTACAAAGAACATGCGAGTGTAGCGCTGCAGCGTGAGGGCAGCCAGGTGACGGGAGCGCTCTCGCTTACACTCCAACAACTGATAAATGTCTTCTTTCAGGAAAATCTACAGTTTACAAGCACAAATTCAGCAAATATCACATGGAAACAGCAACATTACTGTTGTTCAGTATCTGCCTTTGTGACTCCCACATGGAACACTCCAGGGTGAAGAGGGCAGAGTTTCCTCAACATTTCCACACAGTTCTCTCCACTGGCTGCAGGGATCTGATGCACCCCCACCAGAGACTTGAATCTTTGCAAAAAACAACAGCTTGGGGTCAACAACAAAAATCAGCACCAATAAGATTAAGATTAAGAGATCCTTTATTTGTCCCACAGTGGGGAAATTTCGGTGTTGCATCACAGGTTATAGAACAGTAGGAAAGAGGAGCACACGGCACACGTTAAGTGAACAATAGCTATACTAATCAAAATAAAAACAATCTAACTCTAGCATCAATAATAAGTATAAAATCTCCATCTTGAAAATATAATAGATGTAAAAATTTAACATTTGACAAAATAAGAGGCAAGTATAAAGTATTCTGTATTCTAGTGCAGGTAAAGTGTAGTTATATGTTTGCATCTGTACATTAGCAGCGGTATGTATACATCTGTACATTAGCAGCATAATATGTTTCTTTTATTGCCATTGTGACTAACAAGAAGTCCCAGAATAATTTTCTTTGGCACTCAGTGCAAACAAATAAAAATATATTAAGGGATGCATAAAAAACAACATAACATTTCTTAACATTACTACTGGACGTTTAGCAGTAGTTTATTGAAGAGTAATACCTGAATAGAAAAACATCAAATTGCATTCGAATAGGATATCCCTCTCTTCGGATGCGAATAGTATCCAGGACACCAGAATGTCGAAGCTGTTCGCTGACAAGTTCATCGTCAAACACATTTGGTTCCTATGAAAATAATGTAAGCTATAATAATATAATAAGTATATATACAATATAAGAGTCGTTACAGTACCTTCAGATTGTTTGGCTTGATACAACGTATAAAGAAGGGATTGCACCTGAAAAATAAAAGCAACAATATAACAGATATTCCTTTTTTCCTGTATTTGGTCAATTCCCGACCTCTCCATCTTCTCCACAAGCTCCAGGAGAGACTGCTGAAACTTGCTGCTGACTGTGGCAGCTTGATATTTCCGAGTCACTGTGCTGCTCTTTCTCTTGTGACCCTTTTGCTGACCGATGAACTCTAGGTGTGCCATGAAGATGTTGGACACCATCTGCAGACAGACTTCCTTTTAGTACATTTACATTAAGGTGAAGCATTGACGTTAGCCAGAGATTTACAGGACCTTATTTTTGCTCTGAATGAACAAATCAAGTACGTCTTGCCGGACCTGGTCGTAGTTCTTATCAATAAACTTATGGACCTACATCAACATAATGGCAGAGATTACATTCAATATTTTACATATTATAGTTGAATGTATATAAAGTGAATGACAACACACCTGATATGTCACCCTGCCAGCGTAATGCTTGATACCAAACTCGGGACTCGGCAGTTTTGGCTTAATGTACAGTGGGTTGTGGACATGGTGATAATGACATTTTTGCAGAAAAGTATGGTCGGTTGCCTAACAAGAAGTGACATAGACAATTAACAGTATTGTATAAAAAATAGTGTTTTTTCATCATGTTACCCACTCTACCTGAGGAAAACAGCTTTGATCATCTAAAATCCTCAAGATCCCATGAGGCTTTGCAGCTATGAGGTCAATACAGGCTTGGTTATCACTAAAAGGGATGTCTTGCCAGGGCACCTGTTCTCTGCTGTATTCCTCCTGATTTTAAACATCAACAATTACACTTCATATATATTGAGATATGTATATAAAGTCAAATGTCCTCGTTGCACACCTGCTCTTCTCTGAAAAGGATTCGATTGAAGAAAAATTGCAGGTACTCATTTGCATAATTTATGCATAGCTGCTCAAAGCTGTTGAAGGTCAAGTCCTGTTTTTCATATACATTTTAAGAGCACAAAATATTTAATATTGGAACTAGAACAATCTGGTAACTAAATACAAACCTCAAATCCATAAATGTCCAGGATGGAGATGGACAGTGTGTGTTGCCGAGGGTAAACCTGTGAGTTTATCTTCTCTGTTATCCAGTGGAAGAGCAGTGAGTACAGGATCTTGGCAACAGCATCTCTGACACATAAACATTATAAATTAGATATATACATATAGCAACAACATATAATCATGCTATTGCTCACCTGGCATCAATAGCACTTTCTACAGTAAGTGGTGTGAAAATCCTGTCCCTCATTGTCTCCTGTAACACATGTGCACACAAAGAAAGCCAACTTAATTTAACTCAAAAGAACAGTGAACTAAAAAGTCATTTTCATGACATATTTTGATAACTTTACCATCTGAATTCAAAGTGGATCTGAACTCTATTTCAATTGATCAGACAACACGGACTATAATGTGACTGTAACCACTTAAGTTAATACTGTAGAGATTGACCTTGAAGAAGGTAAATGCACCTCACCCTTATCTTTCAAAAGCAGTTTTTAAAGTAAGGAGACAAATTAACACTCTTGGACTACTATGTTACGGACCGTTACTTTGAATGTGATGGCTTTCTGCAGTCCTTCAGGAGAGATCTGGAGCATCTCTGATACCACTCTGATCTCTTGGGCACTGATCACTGTCGCCACCTCTTGGCCATCCACCTTCAATGCACCAAAGAGCAGGAGCGTCAATAAAATAAAAAACAACAAAAGATAGATCGTAAGAAACCGAGACGCAATGGATTACCTCATGTCTTTGAAAAAATATATTTCCCAAATGCAGTATAGAAGCAAGAACTCTGAAGACAGAAGACTGGTCCTCTGAAGAAAAGTGGAGGATTTCCAGGGCAGCAACAAGTCTGCGGTAATCCTCTGCATCATTTTTCCCTGCGATTCCACAATCCCCTCCCTGTACAAGAGGTGACATTTTAAAATTCTGTAGTGTATGTTAGGATTAGTGCAAGTATACCTGATTGAGGTAATAGTACGTCTCAGCACCTTGTAGGTAGAACGCTTGCTTTTGCTGTGATGTAAGACCTGCCAACATCTCATAAAAGATGTGATAGTTCCTCTCATCTTTGGCCTTGAAGTTGAATATATTTCATTAACATACATCATTAGTACAACCCATATATTTACATATTTATATCAAAGAAAGCATGTTACCTGAAAGACTATACGAGACTTCTCTAACAGATACTGAGAAGTTATGGCACCACTGATCACTCCACTAAAGAATACAAAATAATACAATAAGCTATACCATACAACATGTATTTAACAAAGAATCATGTATTTTGTTTCACTTACTTCTCTAAAAATACTTCTATGTATTTTCCAAAGCGACTTGAATTATCATTTCTTACAGTTTTGGCATTTCCAAAGGATTCCATCAGAGGAGCTGCCTCAAGTATCTTCAAGGGGAAACCAGAAAACCCCATAAAGAATCATTATGTTTTAGCAGCATGATAGTGATACAGATAATCACTCCAAAAAATAAAATCAATGCTAAAAGAGACTAATGATTGTCATGAGCAATGCACAAACAAAGAAATCAACCACTAAATGCATTGTACTAATAATTAAACCTCATGCAAGTACCACACTACCTCAATCTTCAATGAGTCAGGTGAAAAACAAATCAAGTGCAAATGAGATAAGAACTGCAATGCACAAAGGTCTAAAAAGATAACAGTATTTCAAGATATTTATAAAGTGTAAAATGCACCTACCTGTTGTGCAACATTGCTTGTGTGTTGAATTGCAGCAAGGTAACGAAGAACCAATTTTGTCGCCTCAGTTTTCCCAGAGCCACTTTCTCCACTAACAACAGAATAATAATACTTCACCATTCTAAGGAGTTTAGAAATGTATAAGGGTATTCAATTATATGCAAAGCTATTGTCCAGGTGTGGATTTTTGTTATTTGGTACTTGGTTTTATGTTGTTGTTATGTTATGTTCTTTTGTTGTTGTGTTTTAGTTTTACTTCCTGTCCTGTTGACTGTCTACCCCGCTTTAATGAGTTTTACCTCTAAATATGGACTCTGTCTAAGTCTATATATACCCTGTGCTCATTATTATTGGTTGCTGGTCCATTGTCAATGTCAACATCTGTCTGTTTCCCTGGTTCTCATGTTTCGTTTGGGTTTTTGAGTTTGTTTATACCTTCAACTTTTATTAATATCATGATTAAATCATATTGTTTTGCATTCCTGCATTTTGGGTCCTCTTCAGTCTTTACTACGTAACAGATATTTGTTAAACATATTTAATTCATAATTTAATCCTTTAGAGTTCCTTACTGCGGACAATGTGGCAGAAATATAATGCTGAAGTGATTTTACACAGACTGTATATTCTGTGTTATTTATTAACATTTATGGACATTGGTCTGATCCATATGGACCAATGGCTCCTATGTGTTCAAACGGGTTGATTCTCTGATCTGTTGTTGGTGAATCGAAAACTTTGTAAAGTCCTCCAAGACAACCGTGATTGGGATTTAGGGCTAAACAAATATAAATGGAATTGAATAGTACAGAATAATGGCAAAAGCTTAAGACTAGTCTAAAAACATAATTTTGCAGGAGTAGGTCCTGTGAGGAGAGGGGCATCCCTGGTGTTTAAGGGCAATGTCCTCATCACCACATCACAGCATTGGATTTCAACACACAGACAACTCGGCTCAAAATTAGGCCATTATTGGTCACTGAACACCAGACCTCAGTTACATTTAACATGCACTCACGGTCACATGCACCCATAACAGGCAAACAGTCGCTGCACACATGATAGAAAGATGATCTGATCCGGGCCTAGACTGTACAGGGCTTTCCTTACAGCGGCGTCCAACACGGAGTGTTTGTGGCTTAATTGGAAGGACACATGTTTGGGTTCAGGACAGTACTCTACTGTATATGATTACACCTAAGTGCAACGCAACCATATTTGTTTACAGTTTGTAAATGCATGCGTGCGTTCCTCATTCAAGAGATCAGTTTTTGACAGACGCTTGATAGACAGAGCACGGCAGGAGTGAGAGATGACTCTGTATTAAGTTTGCTCGCAAGTAAACCACAGACCGAAACTCATGAATTTACAAAGACAAGGTCAACTGGAGATGGAAAATGTCCTGGGCTCTGTTCACATGTCCACGAGGTTAACAGCATGATGTTCTGTATATTGGCCACACTGTCATCCTTGTCACAACCTTGTACTTTACATGCATTATGGGGAATATATATCAAGGTTAGCCTGTGTGAAAAAATTGGCAATCCTTAACATTGGAGGAAACTGACTTATGATAGACAGTCAGATAAAAACTAAGATTCCAATTGCTACTTTACAGATGTAGTTCTTGGATTGATAAATATTCTCCTATGGGCAATGCTGGGTATGGTAGATAGAATAATAGTAATTAGTTACATATTCATGAAAGTAAGTGAGTTACACTACTTTGGGTGATTGATTATTTTATTGATATATTATACTGTACATTAATTATTATATGTGCCTTTGGGTGGTATTAAAAACTCTAAAATAGCAGGTATACAATCAATGTGCGGTTAAACACAATGTGTAATAACATTAAACACTACACTGCTGACATCTGTTTAAGATGTCTAAAGACTAAATAATTGTTGCCTGTGGATTTTTCCAAATCATTATTACTAATTATTATATCTGTCTTAATTAGTAGTAAAAGATTTACAGGTAACTAATACAGGTACCTGTGAAACTTTCCTTATGTTAGTAACTGTAATCTAAAGTAATGCATTACTCTACTTAGTTACTTGAAACATAAACCAATTACAGTAAATACAAAGAAATGTCTACAATAAATACCTGATTATTATGACCTGGTTGTAATTGGCATCCATCAGTTTTGAATAAGCAGCATTTGCTATGGCAAACAAATGCCTAAAAACACAAGGAAAGATCAGACAAAAAAATATGTGGTCTGAAAACAATCATAGTATGAACCAAGAATTAATATATAATTATCACCATCAATATCATCAATCATCACCATTATTTATATCATGATTAATAATTATAAGTCAAACATACGGAGGGTTCTCTCCAAGTGCATGGCCCTTGTAAAGTAGCACCATGTCGGTCCCATAGACGTTGTACATCTTATAGGGGTTCACAGACACCAATATGCTCCCAATATAAGTCTGTCAGGAAAAGGAAGAAAGTACATGATTGACCATTGTCTGTAGATGACTGTGGCGGGTGTAGCGCCACTTACATAAATGAGCTCCCTCTGAAATCTTGTCTTTATGTTCAGAAGAACAGCCTCTTCATGCATCTCCCTGTAAAAGGGAAAAGTCTATTAATAAATAGAAGTGATTGAAGTTTTCCTTTTCCCCTCTGTTCTATAAATACGTTCGAATACTTTTTAAAATGCATTTATTTATTCATTTGTGTGTGAGAGAAAAGACCTGGGGTCAACTTACTCTAGTTGTGTCATATCCTCCACGCCATCTTCCTCTCTTTTGTGCCGCTGAGTCACAGTTGACAAGCTTCGGATTGAGTACATCTGCAGAACACACAAACATTACTTTTTATAACTTGGAATTCATAATAATTAATTGATTTGAGCGCATAAAACATAGACCAAATTCTAAAACATAAGCAATACTTGTTTTACAAAATGCATTAACTATTTAAAAGTTTATTATACCTTGTCATACCAGTTCCCCTCCGGTTCTCCCTCCCTGCTCAGATTCCACTGCCCTTGATCTTGCCCCGTTTGTCTTTGTCCTTTGAGGTCATGTGGGACCAGCAGCTCCCCATCTCCATACAGTGCCCATCCATCTTGCATTTCGACTCCTTCCATTCCTGGACCATGTGCCCAGTGCTGTCCTGGGCCTGTTCCTTGAACTTGTGGGGACACTATGGCATATGAAAACGGCAGGTTGTATGAGGCTCCTCGCATATTTGTATTTTTAAGGGCACCGGAGAGGTTAAGGCTGCGGGGTTCTGGGGTTTTTGGAGCACCAAGCCGGGTCATTATATTGCCATCAGGAAGGCGATATTTAGCTTGAAGAAGGTTTGGGTTTTTTGATAAAGCATTTGAAAGGTCAAAAGAATGGGATTCTGCAGCTTGCTTCCTTGGATTCATTATGGATCCATCTGGCAGGCAATATGTGGCTGATCGAAGATTCTGATTGCGTAGGGCATTAGAAAGATCCATGCCACGTGATCCAGACGTGTCTCCAGAACCAGGCTGCCTTAGAATAGAGGAATCTGGAAGTCTGTAGGATGCCCCACGGAGGCCCGTGTTTGATAAGGCACCAGAGAGCATTGGCCCGGAAGGAGGAGGTGGAGTAAGCTCAGTTGGGTTTCGTGGAAACAATGAGGACGCACCAGGGAGCTGTATCTTTGCAATTCGCATATTCGCATTCATTAAGGCACCAGATAACCCAGAGGAGGGTCCTGCAGTTTGAGGAATTGGTTCCTCCCTTCTAGGACGATTAAGAATGGAACCATCAGGTAATCGGTAAGAGGCCATTCTTAAGCTTGAACTGAGAATAGAAGAAGACAGCATTGGAGAGGACGGAGTGACGGGTTCTGATACAGGCTCATTTCTGGTGATCAGAGTTCCATCTGGTAGACGATATGTGGCTTTGCGGAGATTGGAGTTCAACATTGCAGAGGAAAGCATTGGTGACATTTGGGAAGGAGCTGGTACAGGCTCTCTTCTGGTTACCAGTGATCCATCTGGCAAACGATACGTGGCCTGACGCAAGCTGGGGTTAAGCAATGCAGATGAGAGTGCAGGGGAGGAGAGGGGAGAAGGAACTGAAGTAGGTGCAGCAGCTGGAACAGTGCTCTGGGGCATCCTTAAAGGGCTATTTGGAAACCTGAACATTGATCCCTGGATCTGAGAGGTTGGTAATCCACCAGAGAAAATAGTAGTTCTGGCTTCTGGCTGATGTGTTGAAGGAGGAGCAGAAGAGGCAACAGACATGGGGGAAAGGTGACGCTGAAGAGGTGAAACAAAGGAAGCATTACGTAGCTGGGATGTAAGCATAGCTGAGGACAGATGTGGTGAGGATTGAAGAGGAGAGGCAGGGGCCGTCGCTACCTGTGGGGTGTAAGAACATTTGTAAAAATGTTAGCATTGCGCAGTAAAGGAGAAGTGTAAGAAGTACTGAGATCAGTTGAATTCTGCATTGTTACATTGGACAGACCAAGAGAGACATTGGGGTTCACCTCTTGGCTCACCTGTTGGCTGGGTATCATTTGCTGGGTTGAGGATGTGTTCTGCAAATAAGGATTCTGTAGAGCACCTCCTAGAAGAGACGATGCAGACGCAAGGGGTGAAGAAGCTCTAGAAAGAGGAGATGGAAGTAAAGGAGATGACAAAACTTGTGGGTTTGGTAAAGGATTTGTCAGCATTGGTGATTGTCCTTGTTCCATCATAGTTAGAGAATGCTGGTTCACGTTGTGTAATGATTCAGGGGATCCCATCGGGAAAATAGGTTGAGAGGGTTGAAGTGGTTGTGCAAAAATTTGTGAACTCATACTTCTGAGGGGTAACGGAGATGGTGGTTGAGAAAACTGATGCATGGGAGAAGCTGCACGTGCAGGAATAGGAGAGGATGGATGGCTCTGAAACCTATGCACTGATGTTTCTGGAGATATAGGAGTATTGTGATTAAAAGGGGTCTGCATTGCACCAGGTGGTAGAGGAGGTTGAGCTCCAAATGACTGCCTTGATTGAATAGAAGACTGATTTCTGGCCATACGCACCAATGGCTGTCCTCTGCCCACAGGTCTTTGAAAGACTCCTTGAGAACTACCAGTTTGATGTGGTCCTACTAACCCTGTAGGCCTCGAGCCTGACCTAGCGAGCCTTCCGGGAACACCCACCATTGGTCCTGTTGATGAAGTTGGACCACTATGAATAGATGATCTAAAAGGGGCTACATGGGTGACAGGGGGTCCATGTCTACTCCGTCGATTTGAATAGGGATTTGCAGGAGTGGGCTTGACCGCTCCCATTGGCACTCGTGTTAAACCACCTCGAAGCATGCGAGTGGAAGCTCTGGTAGGAAGGGGGCGCCTGGTAATTTGTGATGGAGAAGTTGAAGAGGGGCGATGAGGAGAGGCTGGCCGGAAAGCTCGAGGTGGTGATTGAGGTCTGTCAGATAAAGGGGGGCTTCGCCTATGAGGAGAAGAAAGTGTAGGAGAGGAGGAATGCCTGAGCCTGGATGTTTGGCTACGTCCTTTAAACATGTTAGGCCTGGAAGGAGGAAGAGGCCCTGCATCTGGAGGGGTCTGTTGTCTAAAAGAAAGTCTAGGAGAAGGAGGCCGGCCTGCTCTTTTCCGTATTGATGCTCTCGGGGAGGATAGGGGGCTAGTAAGGGGTGACAGAGTCCTCTGTGTGGGACCCCTTTGCAAACTGGTGCCTCTGTATCTGCCGCGGGCCGAAGATGGCTGTGGTCTTCCAGATATTCCTCTTTGTTGATGCAGAGGAGAAGACGGCTGACTTGGTGACCTTCGCCGTTCTCTTGGGGACTTTGGCGGACCCCCAGCTACTGAAGAACGTATTGCAGGGTCTCTTCTGCGAACACGGGGAGAAAACCGCGGTTCATGTTCAACATCGGCTTGAAAATCCATATGATGTTGCATATATCGTGGGGAAGTAGGGGCCATGGATTGAACAGATTTGTTTCTGTGTGAGTGCTGAGGTGATGCCAGCGGGCTGCGTCTTATTGGCCTTGGTGAAGCTACTGGAGAATGCATAGGAGACCGCATTAAGGGGGGTACTGCAGGTGATATAGGGAAGATTTGTGGCTCTTGAAAAAAAGATGGTGGGTACACAGGTGAAACCATATGTGGAGACAGAGGAGCAGTTTTAGGAGGAATAAACTGAGGCGGGAAAAGTGGCTGCTCATATTGCATATCAGCCATCATTTCTTGAGCAATTGCAGGAGAAAACATTGCTGAAGAAGGAGACAGATGCGATGGAGGGGGAAACGATTGAACATCAAGCCTCTCTTGTCCAAACATCCTCACCTGAGGCCTGGGAACTTTAAATTGTTCTGATGATTGTGGAGCAGAATAGGAAAACTGTTCATGTCCATAGAACGGATCAGTTTCAGCATGATCTACATATAAGGGTGGCTGGTACGGATTGTACATAGACTGGTCAACATATCCCATCATTGGATCATTATATTGGCCCATAAAGTCTCCATAACCTCCATTCATCGTGTCAAATTGCTCTGACATTCCGTAAGAAAATGCAATATTTGGATCATAATAATCCTCATATTGATCATACTGCTCATAAGGATTATAAAGTCTGTTGGCATAATTATTGTATCCATAAGGCTCTGGCTCCATTGCATATACCATCCCATAGTCATCATAGTAATAATCCACATCATCCTCATAATAGTCTTCATATTCGTCATCATAATATCCATCGAATTCATTAAAGTAATCATCATAGTACTCATCTTCATAATAAAAGTTACCCTCATCGTCATAGTAACCATACTCATCCTCCCACTCGTCATCATCATAATAATCCATTTCGTCTCCATAAGGGTCATATGGGTCATAGGGTCTTCTGTGTAAGCCTCTAAGTCTCCACCCATAATCAGACTCTTCCTCGTACTCTTCAGTATCGAAATCATAACTTTGATTGTGGTAGTAAGACGGCCTTCCCTTATCATCCCTGCGAATAAACGATAAACGCTTTTGGCCCCGTTTTATTCCTGTTAGTCTGCCATGCCCTTTCACAGTTAAGAATCTTCCTGTCAACCAGTTTGCAGCTGCAGCTATCTTTCCTAATAGTTTGCTTTTTTTCTTAAAACCTTCTTCTACCTTCTGTTTTCCAAACAATCCCTTGAATTTTCCCCCCATTCCTTTTGCTTCAGATGCCATTTTTCCACTTTTCCCACCTAACCCTGAAAGATTTAAAGATTTTTTGTCTGCGTCTTTTGCTGCATCTTTTTTACCAAACAAACTAAATCCAGAGAGGCCGGGTTTTTTGTCTCCAGATTTACCCCCAAACCCAGAGAATAATTTAGCACCAAGATTTGGTTTATTCCCAGCAGCTGGTTTTTTCTTCTTGGAGAGTCGCAAGAATAGTCTGGAAGTACTTTTGAGATTTTTTTTAGGCTTTGCTTTCTCTGGTGGTTTTGCAGGCTTTGCCATGGCAAAGGGGGATGGCTTTCCTGCGATGCTCGTGAGAGCTTTAGATGCCCCTTTTAGTTGGATAGGTGATGGCTGTGGTTTTGCTGGCATTTTCGGTCCTCCAACAGCAAAACCCATCATTGCCTTTGAAGCCCCAAGATTTACACCAGTCATCTTTTTCAAGTTCACAGCACCCATGCCTTTTTTCATGGGTGCCTTCCTTAGATCTTCTTCCTCGTCTTCTTCGTCAGACACAGGTGCTTTGGATTTCCCACCTTTCATAGCCATGGCCTTAGATGCCCCCTTCAGCGCAGCTTTCCCTTTGCCTTTGTCAGCCTTTTTAGGTGCAACCTCTTCTTCGCTCTCATCCTCACTTACATCCTCCTCAGATGCCTCTGATTCACTGACAGGTTTTTTACTTTTTCCTTTGCTCTTTGGGTCCTCTGCCTTCTTTCCCCCTTGCTTGTCTTCTTTACCTCCCTTTTTATCATCCTTTGCAGCCTTCTTTGGCTCCTCAGATTTCCCCTTTTTGGGAGCAGATTTTGAGTCACCTTTTTTGGGAGCCATAATTTGTTCAGGAGGTCAATTCATCTCTGGTGACAAAATATCTTCATCGTTTTACAGCAGGCCAGAAACAAAAATGTAATCCAGAAAAAGGAGTGTCACTGGAGTTAACTCAAAATACCGAACAGCCTATGAATCACAAAAAGTTTGGTGATTAATGTTAAAAAGTGTAAAGCTTCTATCCAACTCTTATCCAGTCAAACAAAAACAAAAAGAACACATACATTTCAGCTTTGGCTCTTGTGTATAGTATGGAGAGTCAAAAGTAAATCCCAAGAGTCATATAAACAATAAAAGCCCTGTGACACATTGTCTTCAGTCCTTTGAGTGTCTTGCATTGTTAGCTCGTCTTGGGAGTCCGAAATAGAATCCTCATCTTGGCCGCTGGACAAACTTTGGCAGGAGGTCCCCTGTGAGGAGAGCTGAAGTTTGCAGGTGTGAGCCTTGGCCTTCAGGGGAGTCCTCTTTGTCTGAGCCCAGAGGCATGTGTGTGGTTCCCATTTGTGCTTGTATCCTCCCCTTGAACACGTCAGCATGCCTTTATGACCTGCTGCATCTCTCTGGTTACTACAAAAGCAGCACCTCAACTTCAGCTCAAATATGCTCCCTGTGAACGTGTGTTTGCAAGTATAAGTATAGTGTTTATACGTGGGAGTCAGATTTTAAGTTGCCTGGTTAGAGTTGCATAGGGCATATAAATGTACTATCTTAACTGGCACAGGGTAACCCTACCTGCAGGCTCATTCCCGTATTAATAATGCAAAATAGTTGAGCTGTTGCTAAACTGTGTCTGAGAGGCAAAGCCAAAATACACACATATACATACACACACTTACAGTACAAACCAGTCCAAATCATGCACACACCAATAACAATGGCTAAGCATGTGTGCCCCTTCCCAGCCCCAAACTATATTTTAAATAACAATGCTAGATTTGCATCAAAACAAACAAAACCCCTAATTGGACAATATTTGTATAATTAAAGAGAAGGACGACTAGTACATAAGGCCACATAAGACAATGACAAATATGCAGGGTGAAAAAGGTGTTGAACAGTTCATAACTGTTGAGAACTATATCTGGACGTAATGCATTGATGGTCAGCTGATATTCCACTAGGTCATCTCAATGGCAGATATGAATGTTTAATACCGTCCTCCTTTCCGCCTACGCAGCATAGATAAAACATTAACCGCTTGGTGATCTAAATATATCGCAGAGGGACATCTTTGCACTCAACTGCACCCCTGGCAATTTATAATACATTTAGACTGGTGTCAGAGGTGAAAAAGATCAACTCAAGGGTCAAACATCAGGACCACAAGAAGGCTATCAGGAGCTTGGTTTACTCCATAATTCGAGCTTGATTAAACTGACTTCCCCTGTGACAGCATTTAATCAGGACTCTGGATCACGTTTCCTTCAGAACAATAGCTGTAACAAGCCACTAAACTGCCGTCTTTACTACAAAACCTACGCCCTGCCAATTTTATATGATTTAGATCCAGATAAAAAAGTAAAATTTATGAGGTAAAAGTTTAACTTAAATTTGTGAGATTTAGTCCAAATAAAACTTCCTGTGCTTCAGAAAATATTATTCCGTTCAATGCATTATTTTCATAATCTTAAATGTCACAACGTTAGAGGGTCAGAGGTGTACATACATGCTGGGGGGTGTTTTGACGAACACTCAATGTCATCAAGAAAGCACACAAATGCCTCAAGGACAACATGGTGAAGGAGTGATCATCACCGCCCTGACCTGAGAAAGCAGGTGCAGTCAAGAATCCCACAAACCTGACTCTGTTCAAACAGTTCTGTCAGGAACTGGCCCAAAACATCTGGACCAAGTAAAACATTTTAAAGACAAATCTACCAAATATTAACCTTGCAAACCTATGACTCTCTGGTGTTGTGATATTATGAATAAAATCTTAAACTCCTAATATTTTGACAATATATTCTAAAAATTATCTAAATATTTTTGTTATGTTTCAATTCAATGCAATTCATTTCAATTCAATTTATTCTTGTACAGCCCTAAATCATACATGCCATTTTATAAGAGTCCTGGCCCCACCAAACTAACTGATATCAATTTCCAACAACATCAAGATGAGCCTTAGTAAACGCGTGGCAGCCGTTTGAGCTCCAGAACAAGAGAGTTGCATGATACTGCTCCCTGGTGTTGATGTGCTGTCATCCACATTTGGAAAAGAAAAGCAACAGATTAGTAGAATTGATTTAATAGTATTGTTTAAAAATGCAAATCACACAATTAAATTATTCATGCTATAGTTTGCTATAAAAGCTTTTTTCACAGGGACATTGTGCATTAATAAACATTTCTGTAAATGCACCAGATTTAGCCAAGCAGGCTAGCTTTCATCTGCAGTCCCTGGACAGGTGTACAATAGTCTCCCTAAAGATAATAACAGTAAAAGTCATACATTAATAAATGCAGAAAGACATAGACAGTAGGGGAGAACAAGAAAACATACATCACACAATAAAAACACAGTTCACATACAAAAGAGATATTTACAAAGCAAACCGTAAAGGGACCTAAACTAATCCTTACATGTCTGCGGCGTTACTAACCAGTTTTTCAGATGTATTTTGAATAGTTATGGTGTGAATTCTCTGATGTGGACAAACTGACTGAGTGGAGGAGACTGTTTGTGAATTGTTTTGTATATTAAACAGAGGTTTGAATACTTGTTGAGATTGTCCCAGTTTAAAAGCTTGCGCTTTTGAAGAATATTGCAGTGATGATGTCGTATGGGTTTTTTGTCCAGTACTTTTATTGTCTGTTTGAATAATGATTATATTGGTTTTAGTGTTGTTTTATTTGCCTGTGACCAAGTTGTTAAACATATTGATCAGCGTAGACTTCAATCATGCCTCCCTCTCCAACACTCTCCCAACATTCAGGCAGTACGTCACGTGCCCCACGCGGGAGAATAAAGGTGGTACGTTCATACGTTCAGGACAAAATCTTGAGCAGTTTATGGAAAAATTTGGAAATCAACTATTAATACTAAAGAAATGGTTTGATTACAATAAATTATCGATGAACGTGAGCAAAACTAAATATTTTATTTTTGGTAATAAAAAAATTGGCATTCCGACCAAATTGAATATAGATCAAATTAAAATAGAGAGGGTGTACAACACAAAATTCTTGGGAGTAAACATTGACTCAAAACTAAACTGGAAAATACATATAGAATACTTGAAGACAAAGATATCAAAAATGATTGGAATATTGTGCAAGATTAAAAAAGTAACTAACACAATTTTTTTACACTTATTATACACTTCCCTAATACTGACATACTTACATTATTGTGTGGTAATATGGGGGAATAATTATAAAACCTCAATTCAGCCTCTATTCTTAATGCAAAAGAAAGCAATCAGAATAATCAATTGTGCAGATCATTATTCACCATCAAATCATTATTTATAAAATCAAATATTCTAAAATTACATGATATAGTCGACCTAAACACAGCAGTCGTCATGTACAATGTTCACAATCAGAACGTCCCCAAATGTATTCAGGAAAGGTTCAAAACCAGAGAAGCACATTATATTCTTAGAGGAACTGACATTTACCAAAGGGTCACTGCCAGGACCAACGCAAAGTGCAGATGTGTCTCAGTTAGAGGAGTTGCTGTCTGGAATAGTCTGGATGATTCACTAAACAAAACTATTGTTTTTATATTTTCTATTGTTTTCTCCATGCTGAATGCTGATTGTTGCCGTTTTTGTTGTTTCTGGTTATAGTAAGCTATAGTAATAGGGTTAGGCTTCTATAAGTGTTTCACTTCAGCCTAAACCATTTCAGTCATTTTTATGTTTCATTTTTTTCAAATATTCTGTATTGTCTGAGTAGTGAAAAAAGTGACTGAACAAATAAACTACTACTACTACTACTACACCGCCGAAGCTAGAACGCTGACGCCTGGCGCACCAGACGCACATTCTCTAATTTTCAGACGCAGGGGTCTTCAGACCAGAAGTCCTGGCCTGCAGTGGCCAAATGTGTTTCTGTTAATGTTGTGCTTTGGGGGTGGGCACCAATAAGCTCTTGTTTCGGCCCACTCCTTTTGAGCAGTACTTGTCTGCTCAAATAAACAAATAATAAATAAAGAACTTTGATGCTAACAAAGTTAAGCTAGCGGCTTTTTGTGTAAAGTTCTTTTCCAATAATGCAGCTCTGCAGCGTCTCTGTGTCCACAGATCTTCCAGAGACTTTATATAACAGCAGTATGTGTTCACGGAGGTGCGCTATACGTTTATTTTATTATTAAACAGTATGTGAGGATTAGATAGCGATTTGGCCTACGTGCAGGACAACTGCAAGACTGTACAAGGACTCTGATGGTGCATCTATGTTATGACTATGATTTGCTATGCTCTGTCTCTGTGTGACACGTATGTCTTTCGATGTGTAACGTAACAATGACTATATAAACTGTGTACTGCCTTTATTCTGTCTGAGAGAAAGAAACATCAGAAACCACTGGAACTTGAGAGAAACCAAAATAAACTTCCAGAGTTTGGCGCACCACAATCCGTCTCTGTCTGGTTCATTCCTGACAAGTACTTCCGCATCGACGAACACGCTCGAAGCAGTTGCATAAAGTCACAGGTGCATGAAAACGCATATGTTCACAAGCACTATGTCCCCCACTTTCAACCCTGGTTTAGTCCTGGTGTATCTCCTGTTTTGGCTGTTTATGAGTATGTTCAGTCTGCTCGCTCAGACCACTAATGTCCCCGTGACCACTTTGCGGCTCTCTGATTGGTCGTTGCACGAGCGTCCCGAGGAAACGTTCAGCAATATTTATCTCCTGAGTGCGTCAATTTTCCGCTCCTGCGCCTCTGCCGCGCCTTTGCCGCGCAGTCCGTACGTCTCTACCCCATGCGTGCATGCCAAGATGCACATGCAGCTCATCCCCCCTTGGGCGCTCAGACCACTCACTGGTTTGT